AACTTGCAACAGTCCTCGTGCCTCAGCCTTGCTGGGATTACAGGTGTGTGCCCAGCTTAAAATAGCTTTTTTTGTTGTTGTTATTTCTTTTTTTTTTTTTTTTTTCCTGCACCGGCAATCAAACTCACAATGTCATGCTTACCAAGCAGGCACTGTGCTGCTGAGCTAAATCCCCAGCCCTGATTTCTTTTTTTTTTTTTGGTACTGGGAATCAAACTCAGGACCTCACGCTTGCTAGGCAAGTGCTTCTGCCGCTGAGCTATATCCCCCGCCCTAGGATTTCTTTTAGTTTGTTCTAACTAAGATTTAAACAGGAAGTACACACCACACTTGATGTTATCTCTAACTTTTATTAATTTTTGTGGAAAAATTTTTTGTGGAAAATTCCAAATCTAAAAATCATAAAATGAAGAGTCTAAGGAACTTCCAAGTGCCCATCACCAGTTCTGGTAATTATGAACGGATAGCTGATCATGTTTTACCTATCCTGCACTGTTTTGCCACTGGAGGATTATCTTAAAAGAGTTCTCAAATATATTATTTTATCTACTTTAAGAAAAAAAAGTAATGCCATCAGTAATGCCACCTAAAAATCAACAGTAATGCTTTAATACCATGAAATACTCAGTCCACTTATCCCTGACTTGCTCAGAAATGTCTTTTACAAGGGGATTTATTAAAAGCAAGATCCAAATAATGCTTACACCTTATTGGTTGATCTGTTTCTTAATTCCCTTTTAATCTGCAATTGTTCTTTGTTTCTCTTTACTCCTGTCATTTACTTGCTAGAGAGTCCCGGTGTCTTAGTTAGTGTTCTCCCTTCTGAGACAAAATACCCGACACCCAAAGTTAAAGGAGGGAAGGTTTATTTGGCTCACAGTTTGTAGAGGTTTCAGTTCATAGTTGGCTGGATCCAAGGCAGGGTGGCTTGGCAGGGGGCATCACAGAGGAGAAATAGTTCATGGCAGGCAGAAGGCAGCAAGCAGCAAGCCATAATGGACAAGCGAGAACCGTAACCCTCTTCCTGTCCCTTATGTCTTATCCAGGGTGCCCACCCTTAGGATGAGCAGTACACAACCAGGCTGGGGCAGCCTTAATCCTAGCAACACACCACGAATCAATAGATCCTTGATCCCAGCAGCACACACCCTAGATCCAGCCACCTCCAGAAAGCCCCACCTATGACCACATGAGGCTTTGGGAGGACATCTGGATAGAAGCCATAACATCCAATGACTTGTCCTGGAAAATTTTCCACATTCTGAATTTGCCTGGTTGCATTTATGTTGGGCCCTTTAATATGTTTCTCTGTCCTCACTATTCCCTATAAATTAGGGTAGTAGAAAGCCAGTTCCATTTCTGGCGGCACAAAATGCGCATGGTAGGTGCTATGTACTTCCCATTTTATTTCACAGTAGTCACACAGCATCCTCTTTAAAAAAATACTAACAGTCAAACTCAGGGCCTCACACATGCTAGGCAGTTGATCTGCTGAGAGTAATTTTTATATAAATTGAATTTGAATAGCTTTTCATTGACTTGTTATCTTCAATTACTCTAAGTTGGACTTTTAAATTTTTATCACTGTTTAATAAACCCTTCTTAGTAACAAGAGCAAGCTAAAACTGCACATAGGAAATATTTTTGTCTGAGCTCTTGAAACAAGCTATAGTGGAGTTCCTTCTGAGGCTTGAATTAAATGTTTTTACATATGCCTCTAATGAGTCTCTGAATTTATTCCTAATTTTCCAATCAGAGACAGTACTGGCATAAAAGGGAAGCAGGTTATTGAAGAGAAGACGTAAAACTCCTCAGCATTTATTAAAATATTTTCTATTTTAAATCAAGAATGGAAAAGAGGGCACTTTTTTACCAGTTTCAGTCTAAACATCTGTACAGCGTCTGTGTGGACTATTGCAGGCCGTTGTCTTCTGCACAGAAAAATCCTAGTTTAAGCTCAGTTAACTGTACGTCTTTGAGAATCTTTAAAAGACAAAATCCATTTTCAAAATGGAAGTGAAGAATGATATATTTTGACACATACAAACATTGTTACTATTTAGTTAGCAACTCTATAGTGTAAATAGTTGCTTGGGTTTTATTGTTGAGCACATTTGTAAATTTTTGGTGTGTGTGTGTGTTAAAGACACGCTTTCTCTGTGTAGTCCAGCGCAGCCTTAATCTTGCGATGTAAACCACTTCAGTCTCCAACTCACCATCCCTGTTTCCAGCTCCTAAGTGCCGCTAAGCACATTTTTAGTGAAGACTAAACTGAAGGAAGAAGGGCCGGGGAGATAGCGCAGTGGCATAAGCACCTGCCTAGCAAGTGCAAGGTCCTGAGTTCGATTCCCGGTACCAAAAGTAAATAAATAAACAACATAATATGAAGGAAGAATTGGGAGACCTCAGTGTAAAGTTGTCCTAGTAGAGCACAGGAAAAGAGAAGGCTGTAGTGTACACTTATCCTTAGGGATGGGGGTTTATTCATCCCAGCTGGGTACGTAGTCATATTTGTCTGCAGTAAGCTCGGTTGATTTTCTTTCAGGTTGATGATTACCCAGAATTTTTGAGTTCACCAGATAGAGAAACCAACCAACACATTCGCATCATCTATTCTTCCACTGGTTTGGGAAAAAAGTGTGGGAAATCAAAGGCTGTCGGGAAGTTCCTATTTCCTTTTCATCACGCCAATGCTGGCACTAGAAAGGGTATGTAACATTTATCAGATATGTAAGTAGCTTTTTTAAATTTAATTTTTATTAGTACATGAGTTCACTCATCACATCTTAATTTGTGTTCCTTTCCCCCCTTTTGTCCTCCCTCCCAAAAGGATATGTATTATATTTCTTTTTTCAAATCAGATTTTACAGCACTCAGGAGGCTGAAGCAGGAGGGTCACTGCAAGTTCGAGACCAGCCTGCGCTACAAAGTGAGCTCAAGGCCAGCCTGAACTGCACAGCGAGACCCTGTCTCAAAAAAAAAATCAGATTTTATTAATACATTTTAGATATACATAATGATCACACTCATCATAGAGAATTTGTACCTGTACATGATAGAACTTGTTTCTTCCCCCGCTGGTTACCCTCCCTTCAACCCCTCCTCCCCTCCCCGTTTGGAAAGCTTTGTTTCCATGTTTTCCTTCTTTTCTCATTTTTTTTTACTTTTCCCTCCTTTCCTTTCCTCCTCCCTTCTCCCTTGCTCCCCTCCCCATTTGAACATTTTCCTCCTATTTTACAATACTTACTATACACTTTGGTCCTTATTTACACTTTCAGTGTCTCACACCAGAGAAACAATTCAGTATTTACACCTGTGTGTCTGATTTATTTCATTAAGAGTATGGCCTCAAGGTGCATCCATTTCCCTAGAGATGGCTTGAGCTTATCCTTCTTTGTGGCTGAGTAGTACTCCGTTGTAAAAAAAAAACCCCATCTTCTTTATCCACCCACCAGTTGATGGGCACTTGGGTTGTTTCCAAGATTTGCGTATTACAAAGTGTGCTGCTATAAGTGTGCATATATCACTGTGGTTTTAATTTTTCTGGGAAGATATCCAGCAGGGGAATGGCTGGGTCAAATGGGGACCTTTAGTCCTACTTTTTTGAGGACTTTCCCCACTGATTTTGACAGTGGTTGCACCAGTCTACACTCCCACCAACAGTGGAGAAGGGTTCCTTTTTCCCCACAGCCCCACCAGAATTTGTTACTGGTTGATTTCTTGATGATAGCCATTCTTTCTGGGCTGAGATGCAATCTCAGTGTTGTTTTAATTTGCATCTCTCGAATAACCAGTGATGCTGAGCATTTTTTCGTGTATTTATCTGCTGTTTGTATTTCTTCATCTGAGAAGTCTATATTCATCTCAGTTCCCCTTCTGTGGATTGTCTTTAAATTTGGGAGGTCTGATTGTTTTGAGTTCTTTACATGTTTTAGATCCTTTGTCTGAGGAACAGCTTGCAAGCACCTTTTCCCACACCGTGGGTTGTCTCTTCACTCTGTTGGCAGTTTCTCTTGCTGTGCAAAAGCTTTTTAATGAGATGAGATCCCAGTTGTTGACTCTTTGTGATAGTTCCCGTGCAGTCGGGGTTTTGTTTCTAAAGTCTTTGCCTACACCAGTGTCTTCAAGAGTTTTACCTAGTCTATCTTTCAGCAAGTTTAATGTTTCTGTTTTAGTATTTAGATCTTTGATCCATTTCTACTTTAGTTTAGTTCATGGGCCCAATTTTTTTTTTTCTCGTACCGGGAATTGAACTCAGGACCTTGCTCTTGCCAAGCAGGCACTGTGCTGCTGAGCTAAATCCTCAGCCTCTCATGGGTCCAATTTTAATTGTACAGTATTCTATTTCTTAAAATAACAGTTTGAAAACACTAGCTTCTTCATGAGGTGAAAAAGACTAATGTTCTTTGCACTGAGATGAGCTGATCATTCAGTTATCAGTAGCGCAGTACTTGGGCACAATTTGCAAAGAGTAAAGGGTGTATAGGAAGGAAGGGAATGAAGTAAAGAAAGGGAAGAAAGGAATGAAGGAAGAAATGATGGAGGGAGGAAAAGAAAATGAAGGCAGGCAGGAAGGGGGCAGGGAGAAGGGGGAGAAGCACAAGTGGAAGGAAGGAAAAAAGAGAGAGGCAGGGAGAACCCTTAGCCAGTGGGGGTTGTGCTAGCTAGTGTCAGAATTGAACTGAGTTGTAGGACAACTGGTCGGTGTCCAGAGAATTGAAGAATTGTTTGTTTGTTTGTTTGTTTATTTATTTATTTATTTATTGTCTTTTTGAGACAGGGTCTCGCTCTGCAGTTCAGGCTGGCACTGAGCTCACTTTGTAGCCCAGGCTGGTCTCGAACTCACAACGATCCTCCTGCCTCAGCCTCCTGAGTGCTGGGATTACAGAAGAATTGGTTTTTGTGTGGAGTAAAACTCCTACAAATTTGGTAACAGGACTGTTGTGAGGGGGAAAAAAGGTCCGATATATAGAGAGATAGGAATAAAGACAGGTAGATATAGTTATACCTGTATAACTATGAGACCTTTAAGGTACCTACCCCAGTTATTGGAAATTGGTAAAAAGCACAGAGCAAAGCATATCAGCTTTGAACTTGGCCTGGTCCAGGTTCGGATCCTGGCCCTCGCATTTCCTGGTTGTGGGACCTTCTGCAAGTCACTTAACCTATGTGACCCTTCATCTCCGTGACTGTCTTCACAGCTGTCATGGGCAGGGCTGGGTGTGCAGCTAGGAAGGCTGACTTACTGGAGCCAGCCATGAAGGCTGCGCCCTTAGCACAGAAGGAAGAGGAAAAGGTGAACACCCACGGCGGCCCATGGATAAGGCCTCTCGTCTGGCTCCAAGCAGTGTAGCTAGAGCGGCCCACGCCACCCCACTGACCTCCACTGCACGCCCCTGCCAGCCGAGTCCGTCTCCAGGCTGGTTAGACAGCTACGGAGTGTGAGAGCATTGGGTGGCGTTTGCCTCTGCACCGCCACTGGCAGGCTCCTCTCCGCGCGGCGGCACGGACCTGTTCGCAGCACTGGTCATTAGCAGGCTTATTAAATCCCTGGTGGCTCACCAGGTCCCTTGTCAGACTAATTAGGGCCTCGAACTGGTGTTGCTTCCCTTAAGTGCATATTTATCCTCGTCCACAAGCATAATTATCCTTGTTTTTATTTTTCAATATGCAGAGGAACATAAAAACACACGTTAAAAGGATGCAGAAGAAATGGAAGTTTTATGAAATTTAAATCCCCAGAAACTTTGCAAAGGATGTTAAAGCGGCAAAGAGTTTGTCTCGTGTACACGCTCATGGCTGTTGATAGAATTACACCTTCTGCCGCCTGTTCTTTACGTTCTTCCCCCAAGGTCCCCCCTGACACTTTTGTGCAAAGGCTTTTGAAACACAAAGCTGCTGCTGTCACTGGCAGCCCGAGCGCATTGCGGGATAAAGACATTCTCCTTTTCCATCTTGCTAACTGCGATGTGCTCTGTATTTCCTGCTCTCCAAGCTGTTTGTTCCCGGGGTGAGGCCTTCTGCGTCAAGGGCTCCATGTCTTCGCTCCTGGACGGTCTGCAATGTGCGGTTCTGAAGGAGGCGCTGGACGCAAGCCTGTCTCATATCCACTTAGCAGAAGTCATTAATAAAACCTTCAATGCTAACGATGATGTCATGCCCAGAGAAAGCATGGACCACAGAGCATTTAAATATAGATAATTATCAGGACTGGCTCTACATCTCTCGGGAGAAAGCCTAGGGAATATTTTTATCATGTGGCAAAGTTGTCCACACTTCAGTCACCTCCATCATCTGAACAAAGGAAGATCGCCGGGCATGGTGGTGCACACCTGTAAATCCAGCACTCAGGAGGCTGAGGCAGGAGGGTCGCTGTTGATTCAAGACCAGCCTGGGCTACAAAGTGAGCTGAAGGCCAGCCTGAACTGCATAGTGAGACCTGTCTCAAAAAGACAAAACTACATAAGTTTAAAAAAAAAAATAAAGGAAGAACAAAACTGCAAATCATTCCTAGCAAGAGTACCTAGTTTAAATCCCCAACTTTTCTAGAGGTATAGAGAAAAAGAAATTTTTCCACCTTAGTATATATGCACCTTTGTTTAGTCCACACTTGCCTTTTTTCACACTGAGATGGAGGAGGATGCTTGTTAAATTGTTAGCGTGCTTCCTATTGCTACAACAAATAAATCTGAGATAAGTCACCTGAAGAGGAAGAGCTTATTTTGGCTTACATTTTTGGACGTTTCAGTCCATGGTTAGTTGGTGCTTTTGGGCCTGTGGCAGGGCAGCACATTGTGGAGCGGAGCTCGCGGCAAAGCAAGCTGCTTACTTCATGGAGGCTAAGAGACAGAGAGACAGGAAGGGCTGGGGTCCCGGACCCCCTCAAGGGCGCACTCCCGGTGATCCAGCTTCCTCCCACTTGGCCTCACCTTTTTTGTTTGTTTCTTTGTGAAACAAGGTCTTGCTTTATAGCTCAGGCTGGCCTTGAACTCACTTTGTGGCCCACACTGACCCTGAATTTACAGCCATTCTCCTGTCTCAGCAGGTTCTTAGCTTGAAAGCATGAAAAAAAAATTAATTCTGCTTATGTTTATGTCCAGGGGAATTTGTTATAAAGATTTTGGGATCTTTTCGAGAATCCAGAAAGGAGCATAGAGGTTGAACAGTAGAAGAACAGAACCTCAGCGACCTGTTCGAGGGCCGCAGCAGCCTATGAGGGAACGCAGAGTTTCCCCGCTCTGTGTCTCAGGTCTGAATACCGCGAGTCCAGCGGAGGACACCGACTTGCCTTGCTTGAGTCAGAGGCCCGCTTCCACGCCCAGACAGTCGGTGACGGCTAGGGTAGGCGGGAGTTGGTCCAGGTGCTGTGCAGGTTGACACTCATCCAACTTGGAGAGTCCACCTTCAACACCACGTTGGCCCACAGCACTGCAGAAAACTCAGACAAAATAATCACAGATATAAAATGCTTGTGGTCACACCCAAGTAGGGAGATAAAGTAGAAGAAAAATTGAAATGAAAAATTGACGTGTGGTCTTGATTATGGTTGAAATGTCTTTCCTTTGTGCATTTTACAAAAGCATCTAGCGATGTGAGCACATTGTTAGGGTCTCTCATAAGACTTTGGAAAGAACTCATGCAAGTGAGGGGCGGTGTATCTTAAAGCATTATTCATTTCGTGGAAGTCTTCCTTCCTCCCTCCCTTCCTTCCTTCCTTCCTCCCTCCCTCCCCCCTCTCTTTCTCTCTTTCTCCTTCTCTCTTTCTCTCTCTCTCTCTCTCTCTCTCTCTCTCTCTCTCTCTCTCTCTCTCTCTGTCCCCCCCTCCCTCAGGCTAACTACAGGAAGCGGGCAGTTCTTCAAAAAAGGGAGGTGCTGGGATGTCAAAAGGACAAATGACCACTGTTTTAGTCTGTTCCTGCTGCAAAATCAGAATACCTTAGACTAGCTAATTTATACATAACAGAAGCCAGGCGTGGTGGCGCACACCTGTAATCCCAGCACTCGGGAGGCTGAGGCAGGAGGATCGTTGTGAGTTCGAGACCAGCCTGGGCTACAAAGTGAGCTCAAGGCCAGCCTGAACTGCATAGCGAGACCCTGTCTCAAAAAGACCAAAAAAACCCCCCAAAACAAATAAAAAATATATAGACAACAGAAACACACTGATCACAGTCCTGCAGCGTGGGCAGTCCAACACTAGGGTGCTGGCTGACTCTGCCTCTGGCGAGGGCTTGCTTTCTGTTTTAAAGACTGTCTTCCTGCCGCACCTTCAGATCATGGAAGGGACAGAGGCTGTGTCTCCTCATGGCAGAAGGGTAGAGGGGAAAGGCTCTAATCTCGTGTTCTAATTACTTCCCCAAAGGCTCCACTTCTTAATACTATCACATCAAATATTCGGTGCCAACACATGACTTTGGGAGGGGCACAGACTTTCAGCAGTAATGAACACTCACCTTGACTCCTCCAGCAGTCACCTGCAGGTGTAGCTGCCCTGAGAATGCTTTTATTTTCTTTTAGATCAAGTCCTGTGTTTCAAATCTCCAGGCAGTCTCTGATTTTTATAAGCAATGCTGGACTTGAGGGAGGCTGTGGTGACTCTTCTGCCTACACCAGCGCCAGGGATGTCATCAGAGACCCTCCCTGACATCGCCCGCTGAAGTGAGGGGTTTCCTTCTCCTCCACGTGCAGGTGTTTTACACTCCTCGAGACACACAAAACTGAGAGAAAAAAGCCCACAGGGCAGTTCCAAAGAACACGATTCCAACTCCACAAAAGTACACTTAAGATGTTCCATTTCCTTTTATGTAAATTTTATCTCAAAAGATACAGATACACTAAAACAAAACAAAGCAAAAACAAAAACAAGAGACTATAGCTCAACCGCACAGCGCCTGCCTGGCAAGCACAGGGTCCTGAGTTTGATTCCCAGCACCAAAAAATAAAAAAAAGCAAGAGGGAAGGAGGAGGAAAGAGAAGCCAGCAGTCCTAGGAGGAAAACAGCCAAGAGTCAGAAGATCCCAGAAGGGGCGAGGGCTGGCTTCCCTTCCTTGCTGACTGGCGGGGTTGTGCATGCTTGGCTCAGAAGCTTCCGCAGGGCAGCAGGGGAGCAGAAGAAGTACTAAGTTTCTATGGGGGGCGACCATGTGCCGCTAATCCTGACCTCTTGCAGCAGCTTTTGGAAGTGTTAAGTTTGGTTCTGGTCCAGAATATTTATTTCTCCAAATAAACAAAATACACTCACATTATAAGGAAGAGATGACAGTTTCTTGGTGTAATCTATGATCAGTTTCTTGACTTACTATAAGTCCAGCTAACCTTTATTGGATACTTACTATCAGGCATCAAGTCTGTCATTTTTATATGTTTTATATTGTTTCCCTTCACAATGTTATCTCATTTTTACAAGTTAAAATACTGAGGCTTGAGCAATAAAGTAACTTGTAAAATTCACTCAGATGGTTATTGAAAGGATCTGAACTTGAACAAATGTTATAATATCAAAGCAAAAGTTATTTTTGCTTCATCATGCTTCCTGCTTATAACTTTGTATAGCTTTCTTTTTTTTGAGACAGGGTTTCACTACAGTGTTCATCCTGGCCTTGAACTCACTATGTAGCACAGGCTGGCCTTGAACTCATAGCAATTCTCCTGCTTCAGCTTCCTGAGTGTTGGGATTACAGGCATGCATCACCAGGCCCAGCCTAGTTTATAATTTTGGACTTGCACATTTTTTTTTTTGTTTGTTTCGTTTTTTGTTGTTTGTTTCCCGGTACCAGGAATTGAACTCACAACCTTGTGCTTGCCAGGCAGGCGCTGTGCCACTGAGCTAAATCGCCAGCCTCTGGACTTGCACATTTTTGTAAGAATTTATGATCAGTTATCAAGTCAGTACCTGTGCCTACATCTTTTTCATAAATTCAATCAAATTATTTAATTAATGACCAAATAACTTTTTTGTTTTTTTTTTTTAAGTCAAGGAAGAGAATGATGCCCATGTCTTTCAGAGACGCAAGGAGCCTAGAAGCCTGAGTGAACCCTCCTTCAGGTGAGATGATTGTTTGTGGTATGGTTTTGATTTCTTAACCAAAACTCATTTTATAATGCAATCTGTTTTTCATTATGCTTTTAATCTACCAATGACTTGGGACTGACTTCTGTGTATCTCATGTATGTGATAATGAAGAACTTTCTCCTAAACTCCAATGTGGTTAGTAAAAATAATGAGATATAAATTTTCTCTTCTCCATGGAATATATAGATGTTGCAATACAAATAAATAATTGATTAAAACTGAATTCAAAAGCATTTATCAAGCTCTGGGTCTGTGTAAGGCACAGTGTTAGGCCCAGTCATGGATACAAAGTTGAGTAAGGTGTAATTCCTGTCCTTGAGAAGCTGATTCTAACCAGTGTATATAATACATGGATAAAGACAATAGAACATAAACTTGCTAAGTTTCCTACATTAGTTGGAGCAACCTGTCAAAGATATTTAACAAGGCGAAAGCTATAGTCAGTGGTGGGGACGAAGTCCAGGTGCCAAGTGGCGGTTGGTAAAGGGTGCTGCACGCGGAGATGGGGCGTCCCTGCTGGGCGGATCAGCGGAGGCTGGTCATGCCAGTCTTGTGGTGAGCAGTCCAGCGTGTCTTTTTTTTTTCTTTTCTTTTCTTTTTTTTTCCAGTACCGGGAACTGAACTCAGGACCTTGCACTTGCCAGGCAGGCGCTGTGCCGCTGAGCTAAATCCCCAGCCCAGTCCAGTGTGTCTTAACAACAGAACCTGAAAGCAAAATTGCATCTACGCTTTGGAGGGTCTTAGAAGGGCAGGTGAAGGCGAGTGATATGGTAGAAACCATTGTTACAGAGCAGGGTTCTGACAGCTGTGCTTAAAATGAATTGAGGAAAGACCAAAGACTGGTGGGAAGTAAGGAGAACCCGCACTGGGGCAGAGGTGACAGTAATAAGGCCCAAGTGGTGGACGGAGTGTACATTTCAAGGCAGAGTCCGTAAGGCTGGCAGCTGCTTAGAAAGGGGAGGGGGAGAGACCACTGCGGCTTCAAGATGGAGCACCAAACGGGGCGATTCCCTGTAAAGAAATAAGGGCCCTGAGAGGGTCAGCCCCAGCGATGGTATAGACTGGTGAAGTCTGGGGGCCTGGCGGTTCTCACGCGGGGAAGTTCATCTGGCGGTTGAAATTTCAGGCTAGACAACAGGAGAGAGGTCTGGGTATAGATTTTTAAAAGGAGGCTCCCGGGCTCCATAACTTGAGCTGTGATACTGTCACACATGCAAAGTGTCTACACATTGGGAAGACGAGGGGAGCATAGGATTCTAGGAGCTGCCGTCAAGGGATGCAGACTGTAGGCAGGCAGAAAACGAATGTGACCCTAAAAGACAAGTCATAGCTGGGGGGAAATCTATGCGTCTCAGTTAGGAAGCGTGGAGTCAAGGGAGGAGCTGGGAGGGAGAGACACCCTTCCAGGTTTCGCCCACAGCCCGCCTCTCCTGAGCAGACGCCACCTGCTGGCAGTAAGTCAGCTGCACTACTTCCGTAACCCAGTCACCTTCCACTTCACCAGGCTTTGGGGGCCGTTGGAGATCTAAGTCATAATGTTCTGGATCTGGCCCCCAAAGACTCGTGGGTATCCCTTTATACAAAATGCATCTAGTCCGTCTCCATGAGTTCCCAAAGTTTTAATAGTTCTGTCCTTGCTAAAACGTCCAAGTCCAATGTCTCCTCTGAGACTTAAGGCAAATTGTTAGCAAAAAAAATCAATGAAACGAATGACAGTGTGAACAATAAAATAAAGTTGACAGTTCTCCCTTTCTTCGACAGCCAAGCTTTTATCTTCCGCTTTTACTCTGTTCTAATTATTCCCGTATTTACATTTTGTACAAGGATTGAGATTTTCTTTTATACATCTCACATTTCTGTAACATCAGGGTAACCACTGAGCTACGTACAGAAATTCAGAAGATGACTAATTACGTAGTGAAAACACGAGGGCGTTAGGTCGAATCCAGTCACTACGTTCATGTCAAGCACTTTCCAAAGACTCAGATGGTGTGTGCTTACCTGAGGGTGTACTTTTGCGTTCTGTTCTGTTTTGTGTTTCTGTAGTGCAGGCTGGCCTTGAACTCACTATGTAGCCCAGGCTGGCCTCGAGCTTGTGATGATCCTCCCGCCTCAGCCTCCCAAGTGCTGGTATCACAGGTGTGCGCCAGCTCAGAGCCCTCTGTTTTTGTCTTGAGCAAAGAGGAATGGTGACTCCATCTGAGAACGTTCTGTTTTTACCTCAGAGAGTGGAGGGAGTGAGGTTGGTGTAACTGTTGTTCTCCTCGGGAGCGTTTCCCCCTAGGCCACAGCCATCACGGCCACCAGCCAGCACCACTCACCTGTTTCCCCTTCCTCGAGCTGAAGGAGGAAGGCAATGTAGGGTGCTCCTGAGCCGCACGCAGGGGTGGTGCGTCGCAGACAGTCGTTGAGCCTGGTGCGTGATTAAAGTCTGGCCGTTCCATTGCCACTCCGCAGGCCAGAAGAGGAGGGAGGCCCCGCTTCCCTTTCCGGGCCTTACTGTGGGAACACGGCGCCAGCCTGCCTTCCCGGAAGCTTGAGAGTTTGGCAAGGGACGGGCGTCTGCAGGGGGGTCAGGACAGCGATGGGAGACCGCGCCACCGCTGCTGTGTGTGCAAATGTGCGCACGTGCAAGGACACTGGAGCTTGACGGTCAGTGACACACACAGGTGATTAGGAAGTCAAGGCTAAGGCGCCAAAAGACAAAACTGCCACAGATTTGAACATCAAACTGGCTTTTATTTGGGGCTGGGGGGTGAGCCGGTGTTCCGCCCAGTAGAGTAGAATGAGTATCCGGTGGAGCTGAGCATAGAAGATTCGCTTCCTAAGTGCAAAACGGCTAAAGAAGGCGGAAGCAGAGCGCAGCAGACAGATCGGTCTTTCCGAAGCTGCTTTCCTTACAGGCTCACAGCCGAGGCGCGGTCCTCCGCGTGGTGAGTCGCTGAGTCTGCGGGACTGAGCACAGCGGCCCCGTTCTGCGGCTGCCTGCCGGGCCGGGGGCGGTGCCGCCCGAAACTCAGGCCTCCTGTAAGCCTTGCTCAGCAAAGGTGGTGTGATCAGAGCAGCAGAGCCAGGACTGGAATTTAGAGCTCGTCATTCTCTGCGGATTCTTAGCGTCTCCAGTCGCTGCCTTGTGCCTCGGAGGAGGGAGAGCTTGTGGGGAGGCGTCAAGAATGCGGACGGTGAAAGGGTGGGACCCAGCGCTCACCCAGAAGTTGGTGCTACTGGGACACACTAGGAAATTCGCAAGTGTGCGAATTAAAGGAAACGGCATCTAAAGAATCTCCCTTCTAATTCCCATTCGAACGTTTTCCTTTCTAGGATCTTTTATCAATGCAAAGAATAATAAGGTTAAAAACTAGAATGAGGAAGTCCTTTCAGTGAAAATCTTGGGGCTCCAGGAAGGATGGGTGCAATACTGTCGACGCAAAAAGTGCTTCTTGTGTAACATTAGTGGCTTTATTTTTAAATTTTTTTTTGTTTTTCGTTTTTGTTCCAGTACCAGGAATTGAACTCATGACTTTGCGCTTGCCAGGCAGGTGCTTTGCCGCTGAGCTAAATCCCCAGCCCCTAGTGGTTTTATTTTGAAAGCAGAAAAGCAGACTGAAGATTTGCATGCCTTATTTCTCCCAGTCACCTAATCAAGGGGTAATAGCTAGTGAGGTTAAATCACTCTTTTCTCCCCCCGCCCCATTTCTCTTTGCAGTACTGGGAATTTGACCCAGGGTTCTCATGTTGAGCTACATATGCAGCCCCCTTTTTTACGTCTTATTTTGTGACACGATCTCGCTAAGTCACTAAGTTGCCCAGGCTGGGCTCCAACTTGATCCTCCTGCTCAGGTTTTCAGAGTGCTGGGATTACTGGCCTGGCCTCTTAACAAGCATTCCATTTACGCAAAAACAGTAGCTTTCAGAATCTTAGACTGCTGCAATTGGCCCTTGGGTTCTCCTTGTTCGTTACTGTAAAATTCTGATTATCACATTTATTTATTTATTTATTTATTTTTTTCCGGTACCAGGAATCGAACTCATGACCTTGCACTTGCCAGGCAGGCGCTGTGCCGCTGAGTTAAATCCCCAGCCCCTGATTATCACGTTTAACACTGAATTCTACCTACAGGTACAACCAGGAGAGCTACAAAGCCTTCACTGACCCAACTCCCAGCAGCCCTTCTTCAGACATCAGCAAGCCGTGCCTTCAGGGCAGAGGTGCCTCTCGACCCTTACCTGTGCCCCCCCGGAGGAGCTGTCCGCCCACTCCAGCTGTTGGCAGGCCTGTCAGCTCGCCATCTGGCACAGCAAACCCGAAAGAACCGCAGGAACTTCCAGATCACAAGGGCTCCCCACGTGAAGTCGCTTGCAAGTGCGATGGGAACAGAAATGAGTTTCATGTAGGAAATTCTCTCCCAGCTTCCCCTTCGGACAGCGATTTAAACCTAGAGAAAAATGAGTCAGAGCTTCACTTGTATGTCATTTCCACAACCTCGTCTCTATTTCTGCACTTAAAAAGTTCATGGAACAATTATGTGATAGTAAGTGTCCCCACCTTAACCTGAGATGTCTTTGTTTTGGTTCCTTTTAAAGGTAAACATGCCTTCCCCCACCGCCTCCATTTTGGAAATTTTATCTTACGACTTACTACTATTGTGAAAGAAAAGATGCACTGAAGGGGTGACTTGACTTAGGCCAGAAGCTGAGCTTCTGTAGGGGCAGGGAAGGGAAGTCGTACCAGGCGGCACTTTGCATTCAGCTAGGGTGTCCTAGGCTTTTCAAAGAGTCGAGTTTCCTTCAGAAACACATTTTATCTGTAGGTTTTACCAACAGTAATTATGCCTGTGCTGTTTAGCATCTCAAATTGAACGAAAATGAAGTATGGTTGTTTTTTACCCTTTGCATGTTATGAAGATAGCTGCTAGAACGCTAAGTTACGAGGGCATATTCCAAATTAAAATTATAGATGTAAGGCAGGTATAAACATTTGGAAAGGGAAAGGGGGCAGTTTTTAAAAATTTTAGAACCATGATAAAAGGAGTAAGAAAAAAGTGCGTATTTCCCTCACTACCAAGTGCCCACTTCCCTGCTTTGATTTTTAAAGAAGAAGACAAGCTTAAGTTTGTTTTGAGTTACAAATCAGCTACCTTTCAGAAACCCCTTCTGATCTCTTAGGCCTCAACGTAAATAAAAAGTTACTTAGAGAACTTCCTGAATGCTACTTGTCTGATTTGAGGACTGAAAATAAATGGGAAATGTCAACACTAAAGATTTAAGGAAAAATTAACCCATTGGGGCATATTAACAAAAGCATTGTATAACTATGGTATGGAATATTAGGTAATCATGAAAAAGATTGCAGTAAATCTATGTATGCAGACATACAAAACTTCACATGTTAAGTGAAAGAATCAAGTTCTAGATTGATATATATGATATAATTTAGCCAGGATAATATCTATTACAAAATATGTCATAATGTATAAGTACTGCAAGTGTGTATGTTAGAATTAATGTGTCTTTTAATGCCTGACAGGATATAAAAGAACCTAATAATAGCTACTTTGAATAGTGCTAAGGAAAGAGGTGAAACAGAAAATTTTATCTTTTACTTTGTGTAATCAGGTACTGTGAGAAATCGATAAATTATTTTGAAATAAAAAGTTTAAAAATGAAAAAGTTATATTTAAAGCTTTTTGAACATTAGATAACAAAAAAAATCCCCTGGAGTGTTAGCAAATACTGGAATTAGTCGTATAAACAAATAATGTACCACGGATGGGATTAAAAATACACACACACACACACACACACACACACACACACACACACACACAGAGCAATGGCTAGAAATAGGGTTAACGGATTTCCAGTAAACAGAATTCTAACAATCCCCACTTTTTTGTTCTTTCAGGAAGCCACTCTTTTACAAGATCCCCTGTATGCTGCTGCGCTCAGTGCGGTTAGAAGTCAGAAGCCATACAGGTAAGGAGCCATGAGCTGACAGGGTCGCAGGGGGATTGTTCTCTCCTCCCTGTGCTCCTCGCTCCGTGTGGTGCCTGTGGCTGACGTCACGTCCGGCCCTCTACCTCAGCTCTCAGCCCTGAGTTTTAGCTCTGCAAACCTCAGTGTTCACTGGACAGCACCCCTTACACGCCTCGCAGGAACCTT